AGCTTGAGTCGGGGTCACACTTGCTTTTTTATAACAGTGCACTCCTTAAGAAACAGATTCGTTTCCTAGGCCAGCATTAGCACCTTCCGAGGGCAGTGTGCTTAATCACCTAATTCCGTTGCGCTAGAAGGTTCCACAGCTTAGCAGCACCGAGTTGGAGACAAGGCATCCGCCACATGAATCTCTGGAGGCCAAGGCCTGTCTATGTCATAGCACCCACTGCCCAACAGAAGGAAATGGGAGCGATAACCTTACTGTGCCAACAAGATGAACTATTTCTGCAGTTACAAAAATATTGGAAAATATTTATATTGTAAGTGAAAGAGTTAGTATACAAAATGATGCATATTTTCTCCAGAGATTTGCTCTAAATAAAAACAAGCCATTCCCTAAAGGGTATAGAATGTATGGTTCCACTTACATAACATTCTTTATATGACAAAATTATAGAGATGTGGAACAGACCTGTGGTTGCCAGGATAAAAAAGGAGGAAATAGAGCAGCGGTTGGGAGCAAGTGGGATTTTGTAGTGATGGAAATATTCTGTATTTTACAGTGTCAGTGTCAGCATCCCATTTGTGATATTGTCCTACATTCTTACAATGGAGGGCAGCAGGAAAAAGGGATATAGACTGTCTCTGTGTTCTTGCTCCTAACTACATGTGAATCTGCAATTAGCTCAAACTTTAAAAATTTAATAAAGCATTTGGAGCATTAAAAAAATATGCATTCTGATATCAGAAGCATAAATGTTAATTACAGTTATTTTGGAGTAGAGAGCCCATAGGTGATTTCTTTCTTCTCTGTTCTATTTCTGTGTACTCCACAATGAATATGACTATAGCTTTTTGTTTTGAAAGAATTTCAGCCTCACAAAAAAGTTGCAGAAATAGTACTAAGTGCTCTCGTGCTCTTTGCCCACCTTCCCCTTACTAATATCATGTGTAACCATAACAGTTCTCAAAAATAAGAAAGCAGCCGTGGTACAATGCTATCAGCTGTACACTACAGAGCTCTCCTGGGATCTGTGCAGTTTTCTCACCGAGGACCCCATATTGCATTGAATATTCTTACCTTCTACAATATTGGGTAATTTCTTTTCTCTTTTCTTTTCTTTTCTTTTCTTTTCTTTTCTTTTCTTTTCTTTTCTTTTTTTTTTTTTTTTTGGAACCGAGGATTGAATTCAGGCCCTTGCACTTGCCAGGCAAGCGCTTGTTCTACTGAGCTAACTCGTTGGCCCAGTATTGGGTAATTTCTAAGTTTCTCATGACTTTGGAGACTTCTGATTGGTTGCGTGGTAGAATGACCTTCTCCTGACCTTGTCGGAGGTGTCCTGTGGTTACTCTGATGCTGTGTATCTTTGGTTTACAAGGGTACCACAGCAGCGATGTGTGACCTTCTCAGTCCCTCCCATGAGGGGGATGATGCTGTGGCCATGTCTTGGTGCTGTCGTGTTGACAGTGATAACTCAGTGAAGCTGCTGTCTGCCAAGATTTTTAACATGAAGTCACTATTTTCTCTTCATAACTAATAAACATATTGGTGGCAGGGTAATGGCAATAGCTATAAATGGCAGCGTGATAAACATACTGCCTTGTGGAGAGTATGCCAACTTCCCGTCTCTTCACCTTCTAATTTTGGATCCCTGGGTGGATCTTGCCTGTGTAACAGCCGTCACTGTGCTGCCTGCGTACTGGTGACCTTCTGTAGATTAATGAGAATGCTCATGGCTGGAAGAGTTGTCCCTTACCCATCATTTTCTGATTTATTCACCATCTCTTGGCATCAGTATGTTATAAAAAACTAAGGAACATTTATCACCTCTGGATTATAATCCAGAAAATTTAGGGTTCTTTCTTTTGAGGCTTAGATCGTCCTAGTGTTGGCCATTGGAAACTTCTGACCTGCCTCGGATTTTGATTACTTCTTTGCTGTCTGGCAACACAAGGCACTCCAGGACCGCAGGGTCATCTTTCTGTCCCCTCTGCAGTCACCCACTTCTCTGAGGAGCCTGATTCCATTTGCTAGCTAGTGCTACTTAGAAACTAAGAGCTGGGCACTAGATTTGCTTGCATGTGGATGCCACTGTTTTTAGTGCCTTTTTTTTTTTTTTTGGTGGAACCAGGGATTGAACTCAGGCCCTTGTGCTTGCCAGGGAAGCGCTTATTCCACTGAGCCATCTCCCCGGCCCTTTTAGTACCTTTCAAAAAACAAAGCTCGCTAATATGTGTGCAGTGTACTTATCTATACATGCAGAGGTCACCCCCCGTCTGCCTCTCCATTGAGTCATTCTGTTTGCTTAGTTTTGAAACCTTGGAGTCCAGTCTAGTCTAAGCCTCACACGCATTTCATTTTGCTTTTCTACCCCTTTGGCACCTTCTTTCCCCAGACAATGAGACATCTTGTTCTTATTATTCACATTGTATTTATTCATTCAACCTTTGTACACTCCAAAAGTGGCTTCAGAATTGCCATTCCATGGCCCCGTGCAAGACAAATGTAGTACGTTGTCTGCGTACAGTCCTTTCCTTTCTCTTCAGCCTTATAGAATCCAGGAAAACAGTGCTTTACCAGTAGTGTAAGCGGGTTCTTTCCTTTTATACCTTCTCCAGTGGGGTAATACTGTTCATATGTGATAACATTGTGTTTCTTTGGTATTGTTTATGTTCCATTGAAAGTCCCCCAACCCATGTATTGGATTCTAAGTCTTTATTTGGGGATGAATGAAATACTGTGATTCTAAGATACTTCTCTGGGTACAGTCAGTACAAATACATACTGAGATTGGTAGATGTACTGAATATGTGTGTACAAATAAATCTTTGTTCCTTTATTCTGTTCCCAGTTCCCTATTATTTGCATTCCTTTCCACTTACCCCCTGTTGCTAACTGATCTCCCCAGTTCTTGTTTATCTTTCCTGTAGTTCTTTCATGAGTACATCAATGCATGTATTTGCTTTGCCTCCCTTCTCTATATAGAGGAAAATGTATTGTAGATTCTCTTCTCTACCTGGTTTTCTGTTGCTTAATAGCGTATCTTAGAAATCACTCTATTTCATTCATAGTTGCCTTCTATTGTGAGTTTTTTTTTTTAAACTGGCATAATCAGAAAATCATTTCTAGTAGCCCAAGGATCAGTTTTTTAAACCCTGCAAACCTAAGGAGGGTGACAATGATGATGACAGATGGCATTGAGCATACAGTTTTTGGAGCACCTGCTGTGTGCCATGCTGTACACTAGGCACCTCACACAGATTACCACTGAGTCCTCTCCAGAGGCCTGAGGAGTCAGTGTCCCTTTCCTTGTCACTGGTGCACATACTGAGGCTGAGCAATATTTAGAAAGTGCTCAAAGCCATCAGGATGGAGCTAGTTTGAAATTCGGGCTTCCCAGACACTGTGCTCTGAGGAGAGCTTGCCCACGTCGTTCCAGAAGGGCCAGGTTGAAGCAGTCGTATGGGGTTTCTAAGCGTGGATACCTTCCAAGCCTTCACACGCTGTGGATTGTGAACTGGCTGTTGCTAAAGTTAACTTGTTACCACTACAGGAACATGGTGGTAACTTACTGCCTGCTTGTTCCAGAGAAGCAGCCCCTCCTTCTGTGGGTCTGCCGCTCAGCTTGGAGACACTGGGGATGTTCGGTAGAGCTGCCACCTGGACGCAGTCTAGATCCAATCTTGCACCTTCTAATCACCAGCCAGAGCAGCGAGCACCATGAAAAACAAAGGTCGTTACCCCACAGGGCTCTTTGCTTTAGCAGGACGTTCAGTCTTGCCTGAGTTACGATCGTTTGTGTTCAGACTGTTGGTACAGCAGGAGTGCAGGATGAATTGCTTCAGCGCACGAGTCTGGCTTCTAGTGCAGAAAATGACCACCCTTAGCACCCAGGCAGTGCTGAGCTTATTGAGCTCATGGCCTCTGACGCCTATGCCCAGGACCTCACCCGGCTCGAGGTTCTCCAGCTGTGTGGCCTTGGGCACATTGCTTTATCCTCAAAGTGCATCTGTGAAATGGGAGAGGAGCCATTCCCATCTGTGTTTGGGGTCTCTTCAGCAGTTTTCTAGGACAATTCACAGAAGTCAGTATATGGTCACATCAGGGCCATAGCGAAAGGACAGGTGTAGCATAGCAAAAGGACATAGTGCAGCATCAACAAAGGCCCGGGTGAATGCACTGCAGTCTGAGGAGGCCCAGCCCAGCTTCTGAGAGTCTTCTCCCCGTTGCAGCCCACGAGGTGCACGTAACTTCCCTAGCAGCAGGTGTAATGAGGGGCCGTGTGGGAAGGCCTGTCTGCTGGAGAACTTGTTAGGGGCTCACTGGGCTGCTCACGCTGGCATCTCCTGTCTGTCTACCAGGACTGCAACCTCCCACCAGAAAGTGGTGCTCAGCACAGTCTGTGCTCTTGGCCCTGGTGATTTAGGCACAGACAGCCACACTCGGCAGGCAGGGCGATGGGAATCCTCACTCCCTCATCCACGTTCCCCAGCTCCAGTGTGCAGGAGCCAGCCTCGCAGGCTGGCCTTTGTGAGGCTTACAGACTTGGGGGTGTCGTACTGACTCCTCTGCATGTCCTCCATTGGGGGGCTGCAGGGTGGATTCTGTGAGACAGTCCAGGCAGAGTACTTGGCACACCGCCTAGCATGGTAGACACTGGTTATCTGTCAGCTGAGACCCAGGGAGTTTGATTGGTTCTTCAGCACCTTAAGAAGCAGCTCCATCCATCATCCCTCTGCTCTCCATTCATGCATCTGTTGCTTCTTCCCCCCGCTTGGACTGAGTGCCTGCTGAGGGAGCAAGGCTGTGTCATGCAGGGCTGGCCGATTCCTGCCCAGAGGACACTGCACGGTGTGTCCAGCCAGGCTGGGTGCTTGAGGCAGATGGTGTGCCAGGAATCCTTGTGGGGACATCAGGGCAAACCCCATTCGGAGAACGCTGGGTGAGCAGCGAACCGAGAGCAGAGTCCTGATGTCTCACTGCCTGTCCTCTCGTTGCCCCTGCAGCCAAAGCCAAGTCGAAGTGCGGCCCGACGTTCTTCCCCTGTGCCAGCGGCATCCACTGCATCATTGGCCGCTTCCGGTGCAACGGGTTTGAAGACTGTCCCGATGGCAGCGATGAGGAGAACTGCAGTAAGTGCCCAGGGGCCTGCACCACCGGTCTCGCTCTTGGCGGCCGGCCTGACTCGCCTGTCCCAGGCACACACCTCACTGTGCCTCGCACACTCGGTGCACTGTGACTGCCTGTGCCCGTGCTGCATGCGTCTCTGTTGTGGAAATGCCTGGCCACCATGTACAGAGACTTGCTGAGTCCCTCAGCCTAACTGGATTCAGTATGAGCTCTCATTAACAGTGCACTGAAATCCAGGAGAGACCTAGGGAGCAGATAAAGAGTCTCCGGTGTGTGTGTGTGTGTGTGTGTGTGTGTGTGTGTGTGGTGAACTGATCCAGGGCCATATAGCTTGACAATCAGAGCCAGTCAGTATATACTCAAACCCTTGCCAGAATGACTGACTTGTCTGTGTGCTTGCTTGCTGTTCCTCCTTTGAACTCTTTCGCAGAGTACTGATGTATTAATGATGTATGTATTCTAGAAGTATATTCTTGAAAAGGTCCTAGTACTATAGCTAAAATACCTTGACTTTGGCTACCCTGATTCCTTTCACCTACTGTATATTTCATGGTGTTAGTACACACACACACACACACACACACACACACACACACTCAGAGGCATGTGCACACACCCATGTGCATCCCTCCTTGACTCTTGGCAGCTTGCCCTTAGGCTGCTTCCCCCCTGACCTGGACACCTGGCCTCCCACCCTGCCTGTGTCCAGTGACTGTGCACACCACAGCCTTGGTGTCCACCGTATCTCCTCCCACCTGCGAGTCACCTTGTATCTGCTGCTGCTGGCCCTCCTGGATGCTGCTGCTTCTTTCCTTCCCCCCCAAAATACTAGGCCCAGCTCGAGCCTTTGTAGCTGTTACTGTGTCTGAGCATATACACACAGTTTTCATATATATGTATACTGATTTTTTATTTTAATTTTTTACATTTTCCTTAGGACATGTTTGCAGTATGTGCTGATAACATTCACCGCGGGGCCCTGGTGCCATGCATAACACATTTTAGGGCCTTTTCTTTTCCCTCCTCCTTCCTTCTATCCCCACTGCCTCCATCTCTCAGTCTCTTATTTTCCGTGCTTACATTTATGGCTGTTCTTGTGCAATCTTAGATTTATAGCAAAATCAGGGAGCTTGACGATTTCCCAAGGGACCCCTGCCAGCACATGAACAGCCTCTGACCCTCGGCATGCCGCAGCAGAGCCGGCTTCGGGCCCTGGGTGCAACTTCCCTGACCCGTTGTACTCTCCAGCTGCTGCTCGGGTTTGCGTTCGGTACGGTGCCCCGTGCAGGCCGGGCACATGTGTCGCGGCACGGTCGTAGCCTCCCTGCCCGGGAGCCCGGTCCCCTGCGCACTCCTCCCTCCACTAGTGCTAAAGCCTTTTCTGCTTCAGATTATTGTAAAAACAAACAAACAGATAACCTTGCAATATGCAAAAGTATATAAAGAAGAAAACAAAATAGCCCCTAATCACATACATTAGAATGCATTGCTAACACTTAGGCAGGTTGGTGGCAGTGCATCTGTCCATCTATCTTGTCTGTCTGTCTGTCTGTCTGTCTGTTCTGTCTTCCCCACTCTTCTTTAATGTGCTTAATTGTGATGCCATCCCCATTGTGACCACTTTTTATTTTAATAATCTTTTTCCAAAGTATAAGCCTTAGTGACTTACTGTTTTAATAGCTTGACTCTTCCGTCCTCCTGCGGTATCCCCGTTTCCAGGAGCCATCGCTGGAGTATCCCATGCTATGGGGACGCAGGGAGTGTTCCACTCTCCCACATGCCTCCTGTCGCCTCATTTCATCTTCTAGCTCTCAGGTGACAGAAACCTGGCAGCTCTACGGAGCCTTCTTGTATTTAGCAGAAACAATGAAGCCCACCTTGGCGGGAAAGACACACGTGACCCACAGAGTAGTGACCTGACTGGGGATTTGACCAGACTCTGAGCTCAGCCTGCACGTGTGTTTCCTCTGAGAAGCCGGGGTGACATCTGCCTCATCTCCCTGCACGCTGACTTCCCTGTGTCTACACAGGGTGTGCTGAGGGCCAGGGTGCTCCAGAGAATCAGATGACATGGTATCGAAGGCCTGTGGCTTGTGCTTGCTGTGGCAGCGTGTGTGCAAAAGTCTTATGGCTGGCCTGCAGTAATCGATTTTTTTATATATACTGTGTGTAGTGGTTTAAAAAATATAAGTGATGGAAGTAAAGATCATGTTTATTAGAATTTGCCTTTGGCTTCAACTCTCCAAGGAATACATCTTTTATAGCTCATGTAACCCTTTAGTGAGTGTGTACCAGCTTGATCTCAGCTTCCTGTTGTCATGGAGTCTTATATTCTCTACACACACACACACACACACACACACACACACACACACAGAGCAAGAGAGTAATCCAATGACAGTAAAAAGCAGTGTGACACATGATTGTGCACGCTCAAAATGATTGTGTCGTCCTTCTACTCCCTACCACAGCTAAGCACCCTGCACAGTTGACGTGTTTGGATGTTGGTCTTTGATTTGTGTAAGTAAGTTTTATCTGTCCTAGATCATGTCACTGGGGACTAAGCCAGCATTGTTCTCTCTCTTCTACTGTGTACAACTGGTGACTCTCACTCACCGTGTGAGAACTGGTAAATAAAAGGGAAGAATCAAGCCCTTAGCCCCCCTTCTTCTAGGCAATCTACTACAGAGAAGTCAGATAGCTGGTTTAAGAAAACAAACAGCCAAAAGCAGTGAGAGAATTAGAGCACAGGTCTCCGTTTCATTACCCTTAATGGGGAATGGATCTAGCTAACGATCATCCATGGTTGCTGAAACCCACACGTGAAAAATTAATGAGGAGCCTTCTACTGACAGAGCAGGTGCGAGTCCCAGAGCCACCACTCGATCTTCCCACAGACAGCTTTGAATCAATGTGGCGCCACTTCGAGGGGAAACGCAGCAGCAGCAGCTTACTCTGTGGGTCTCTTCATGTTACATAGTCAGTCTACATCTGTTCCAGATCCCACAGCCGTGCTTTCATTTTTGCTTTAAATTTGCCAACCCCCGAGGAGAATGCCATGTTTATCGAGACAGCTACCATGTGAGTTTAGTCTTGCCTCCCTCCTGGTATTCCAGGAGTCCTTCTGGTGTCCTCTCCTTCTAACTAAAGAATTTCCTTCAGCCATTTTTTTTTTTTTTAAAGCAAGTCTACTGCCAACAGATTCAGTTTTCGTTCATCTGAGAATGTCTTTATTTCACCTTCATTCCCGAAGGATTTTTATGGCGGGTAGAGTTCTGGGTTGACAGTTCCTTTCTCTGAGCACTTTAACTGTGCTACTTCCTTCTGGCTTCTCTGGTTTCCAGAGAAAACCCTGCCCCCGTTTGGATGTTTCCCCATAGATTATGCATCATTTGTCTCTAGCTGCTAGTGTCTTTTGTCTTTAGTTTTCGGCAGAATTTAGATCATTGTGTCAGGCGTCTGGGTGTGGATTTCTTTTAATTCATCCCATTTAGGATTCCCTGAACTAGTTGAATCTATAGGTGTTGTGTTCTGCCCCACTTAATACAGGTTTCTTTAAATAATTGTTTCTTCTTTATGGGATTCTAATGACGGCAGAATCAGAGTTTGTTTTTATCCTACCCGTCCCTGAGGCTGTGTTCCATTTTTATCAGCCATTTTGCTTTTTTATTGTCCAGATTGTGTATTTTTATTAATCGATCATCAAATTTCCTAATTCTTCACTTTCTCATCCCAGCCAGCTTTGGAGCTTATCTAAATGTGTTTTGCTTTTTTTGAGTTGCAATTACTGTATTTTTCAATTCTGTAATTATTTGGGGGGTTTTCTGTTTCTTTGCTGACATTGTGCATTTTTTCTTTTGCTTCATGTTTGTGACTGCTTGTTAGGGTGTTTGTATAATAGCTACTTTAAAATCTTTTTTTTTTCTTTTCAAAGTTTTATTGATAAACATATAGCAATAAGACAGTTTCAAATCAAATCGAAAGTACAGTTTCAACAAATAATACACTGCATATATTCTTCTTAGTGGTTAATTGCTGTACAAGATGC